TTTGTCCCTTTACTAGCTTTCATTTTATTATCCTTTGCAGTGGTTCCCATAGGTCATATAGAATGAATATTATTTTACATTTTTGAAGTACATGGTAAACTTGTTCTTTCTCCTGTGAAAACATTGTGTCCAAATTTGTCTGAGATAATGAAATGCTTACAACTGAAAGTGACTTTAGAAGAAAACTTAATCCACTCTTCTGTTAAAAATCCCCCAACTCACAACTATATTTAAAGACTTTTTCACTCCAGATATATGTTTCTAAACTATATACCTGAAACAAACCAGTAATTTGCTAAATGCACTTGGCATTTATCATACTTGATCAATCTTTTTTCTATGTCTATTCTTGGGATTTTGCATTATGCTAGACAGAAATTGTGAAACTAGTCAGACTTAATACCATGAAACTCAAAAGGCCAAGTTCAACTTCACTTGTCTTAACCTTGTTATTCCATTCTTCCCAATACATTTTCATTTGATACATTCATTTGTTGCACTTTTACCAAATTAAAAGTACTGAGCATTAGCTGTGTTATCTTTCCACCAAAAATTCACAAGCCTAGCAGTCTCTCCTCTTTACTTTTTTGTTTCACTAGAATAATTACCCTCCAACTATCTGTGAATCTCACATGTTGCTTCCCACAAAATCATCTTCCTTTATGCAAACTATCTCATCCCATATTATTAACAGGTTCCTTGCTCTAGAATAACTTGTTCTAACAAATAATCATGCTTCCGTGGCTTTGCTCTGCCACACCCCTCTGTTATGATGTTCTTGCTGTGTAGTAGGTCACCCGAGTACTCCTTCCCCTGATCTTTTTTATGGACATCATACACTAAAAGAGTTTGTTCTTCACAAAAATTTGCCATGATCTTCCTGCCTGAGAGCAGGTCAATCATGTACTAAGTCCCCTTAAAATATGAGCCAAATGAAATCTCTCCTCTTTTAAATTGGGGGTATTAGGCTTTATGTCCACCCAAGTAGACATGTGGTTATACAACTTTTATGCTGTCAAGTTCAGAAAATACTCTCTGTCCGCATCATTCTCAGTCTTTCCACTGCAATGAACACTCTCCAACTCTCTTTTAAAGTAGTTTCTTCCTTGTATTCTATCACTTTCTTGGTTATTCTCTCACCCCTTTGGCTCCTCATAAGCACAATTTGATAGCTCTTTGTTCTATCAGTTCAGTAAATAGTAGATTTTGGGCCAATGTATCGGTTTTCTTGTCTTTCTGTCCATTATATATGATATATTGTATTCCTGTTGCTGTTCCTTATAATATCTACATGTAAATGATACATTTATACCTTGGAGCTTCATGTTCATCTTCTACTTTAACATATCTACTTAGAAATCCAAGTCTTCTGAAATTTGCAAAGTAAATTCTCAAGTTATGCCTACAATTTCTGAGTTCCACACTATTAAATATTCTAATTAATCTAATCATACCTTGCTCTCAAACTGGAAATTATCCTTCATTCTTTTAATATTCTTACTCAGAGCATCAAATTATCATTATATGTGGAAAATGTTACCTTCAAAAGATGCCTTAAACCTGTCTACTTCACTGTCAACACCATAGTCTAATTTTTTTTAACTTTAACCCAAATTTCATAGTAGCCTTCTAAAAGTTTGGTTTTTCTATAGTTTATTTACTAAGCATAACTAGTCATCATAAACAGTTAGGTTATAGCTGAAAATGCTCCCCCCCAAGTGACAGTTCCTGTTGCACTTTCAGTTGCTTCCGTTTGTTTGAATCTACTGGTCACTGTGATGCGTGGCTGGTCCCTAGGATGCATACTGTAAAATCAAATCAAAGACAGCCAAATACTTCCCCTCTGTAACTTCCCTTTGTAGACCCCATAAAAGCCTCACTCCCTGGACCTTCCCACCATGATATTTTGGGAATGATCCTGATCAGTGTCCTTCAATATAAAATAAATCTGCCTCCAAATCCTGGGTGCTGTTTCAGTGCGTCTGCTTGCGTGGCTAGATGACTTAGTGAGGGAAGTAGCCTAGGAGTAAACGATGGTAAGCTAGAGAGAGCCAGCACAGCCGGAAGGGGCTGCTTTCATCTTGTCAAACAAATGTTGCTATAAAAGTATATTGGTTTAAGTTGCCAAAAATACCAAGGGAATAAAAAAAAAAAACCCTCTGTGTGTGTGTGTGTGTGTGTGTGTGTGTGTGTGTGTAGGTTGGGTGTGAAATATCCTGCGTTTTAAATGTTGGCTCCCATTTTTAAAAACATTGTATGGTCACAACAAAACATATCTCCAGTCCAGATTAAGCTCAGTGGCTGCCAACTCACTTTCTCTGCACAAGGGGTCTGGCTCCTCCTCGCCTCCTGGACTACATTCCATGATTTTCTGCCTTCACACTCTGCGACTGAGCTTCACTGATCTTTATTCTCCTGAAATAACTCAAGTTGTTTCGAATGCCAACCGATTTCTTCCCTGCAGGCTAGGCGCAGGTAAGGAGTAGGACCTTCAGAAGTTGGGTTGGCTAGCTTACTCTAGTTCACAGAAACTTGCTCTGATTTTTTAATGTTTTACTTCATGATACTTTTTCTATATTTGTGATTATTATGTGCTTGACTTGAAACTCACTGTTTTGTTGTAATTTAAGCAGCTATATTACTATTACAAGCTATCATTGTAAGTGTTTATTCATAAAGCATACAAATAACTTGTGGAGAGTCTAAGTCAATATCCATTATCCAATACATTAATTATAATACCTCTTATGAATGCTTGCATTCTCTCAAGCTTTCTTATGAATGCTATGAAGACCTATCTCATGTAATCTTCTCAACCAAGAAAGGAAGCATTATTACCTCCGTTTTTTTGGATCTGAGGAAACCAACTAATTCACAAAACAAGATAGTTTATGTCCAGTACACGGTTTGGATGAAGCTTGTTTAACTTCAAATTATCATACATTGTACTGAGTAAAAGTTGGTGTTAGGCTCCTGGTAATGAGTTCAAATTCTACTTCCATCATAATCTTGACTAGCAAAATGGAGCTGCAGTATATGTATTTGTAAGGTGGGGATAAAATAGCAAGTCTTAGATGACTTCAAACTGATAAAGAAGTTAAAACTGTCTACAACGTTTTATTTATTGCTATTTATTGAAGATAAAAGATGCAGTTTACTTAAATTAAGTGATTTAATTTATTGCCATTAACCAGATCTCAGGCATTTAAGATTTCACTTTGGGGTATCTCTTCAAGTGATATCCATTTTAACACTGGGAAGTGGTCTTGTAAATATTCTAGAAAATGTTGAAGTAACACTACTGAATTCCATTACATGTACAGCAAAGTACAAATTTATCTTTTGCTTCCTAAGGAAATTTATTACAATAGCATCTGTAATTTGTACAAACAATATAAGGAATTAAATACCAAGTATTTGATGTTTGTAACTTTAATGGCACCCATAAATTAAAATAATATTCAATATACAAAAATACCTATATACATAATAATTTATACATATATTCACATTTAACATGTAGATAAGAATTTTTGTACTTTTAAAATTTTATTTTGGTGTCATTTTGGACAAAAATCTATGGTCTTGTGCACACTAGACAAATATTTTTACCACTGAGCTACATACCTAGTTCTTAAGAGGAACATTTAATTTGTATTTGGAAGTTGTTATAATTAGGGGACTAAAAAAACCCTGAAAATTGTTAAAAAGTATTATTTGATAGGTAAATTAATGGTTTCACATTATGTTATTTTTTTTTAGTTTTTATTTATTTATTTATTGTGTGTGTGTGTGTGTGTGTGTGTGTGGCCAGCTCAGCCCACCAGGGGGCAGGGCTGGCTGGCATGTGGTACTGGGGGATTGAACCGCAGTCCCCGTGCTTTGCCAAGCTTGTTCTAAGTAGGTGCTTTAGACCACTGAGCCATCTTACCAGCCCCTCACATTATGTTATATACATTGGTTCTTCAGTAAACTTAATTTCCAATGAATAAAATAGATACTAATATATTATGGAAATAAAACTAATACTCAAGGTGAATTTGTTTGTTTAGGTATCGGAAATCAGACTCAGGACCTTTCTTTTGCTAAGCAGGCATTGTGCTGCTGAGCTATCTCCCCAGGCCTGTAAGTTTATTTCTAGAAATGTCAAATGTTTGTGTGTACATGTGCATGTGTGTGTATGTGTGTGCATGTGTGTGTGTGTGTGTGTGCTACAGAGCAAATTCTAGGCCTCTTGCATGCTAGGTTACTTCTGTCCTACTGAGTTATATCCCCCTCCCTCTTTATTTCTATTTTGAGACAGGCTCCAAATGTGTTTCCCAGGATGGACTTGAACATGTGACCAAACCTCCCACCTAATTCTCCAGAATAGTTGTGAGTACAGGCATGAACTCCATTTCATAGCTACAACTTACTTGTTTATAGAGCATAGACAGGAGGACTTTATATGCATTACAACATTTGAAACTTACTATTGGATTTTATTTACCTGTCACAGAAAGGAAATTTAGGCATATGAGATTGAAGAGCTTACCTAAGAGCAGGTAACTGGACAGGAGCTGAATTTGAACACATGCAACCTCACAATAGGAACACCATGATTTTCAAATATTTTATGATAAAAAAATTATTCAATCTCCAAAAGTATGTCCTCATAAAATTGATACATTATTTATGTGGTCACTTTGAAATATTGATATCTAATAATAGTAAGATAGGGGCCGGCAAGATAGGTCAGCGTTCTAAAGCGCCTGCTTAGGCAAGTTTAGGCAAGCCATGTGGGCATCCTTGGCACCACATGCCATGCCAGCCCCACCCCCAGGGGCTGCCACACACACACACACACACACACACACACACACACACACACACACAAAGTAACATATCAGCAGAATTTAGTTATTATGTCTTGGATTCATACATCTTTGTTTATATTTTTTGAATTTTTAAAATTAAAGTAACATTTGACAAGTTAAATAATGAAATCATTAAAATGTTACCTAAAATCTGATCCAATTCTCTTTCCATTTTCTGGTTCTCCGGGATCAGGGCATAAATTGGAAGCTGTTTTAATACCTCCCTCATTTACTGTAAATGAAGGAAAAGAGAAGAAACAAAATATATGATTAGAAAACCAAGGATATAAGCTCAAAAATATGTGATACAGTAATTTTGTTATTATAGTAATCATTGTTTAAATATAGAAAGTTGAAATGAAATGTTTTGAAGCAATAATGAATAAGAGGTTTTTCATTCAAGGATCTATCAGATCCTACAGTTCACGCTCACTTTCAGTGATTCACGCTACCCTGAATATTAACACATGAACTTCTAGCACTTTGTCTCTAACTTGAGACACACCACAAAATACATTTCCAGTGTATTAGCGCCAGAGTCTCCTCTAAGTCTGGCCATGGCCAACATCGTCTCAAGGTATGACAGTATCATTTGGTTTCCTGTTATTTTTAAATTTGTAATTGAAAAATCCGATCCTATGGAAATGATTTAAAGTTATGGCCATTTCTGCAATTGTTGTAGAACGAAGCAATTTGGCCTACCAATAATAAGCAGTGGTGTAAAATACTAAATATGTTACTGGATTACATTTTAATCCTGAAAACCAAAATGACTTCTCCCTCAAGTAGTATCTGTGACTATCTTTTCCTTGACTTTGTACAAGTTTTCAGCAGATTTCTGTTTTCATTGAATATGATCAGATTAGACAAATTAATCCCAGAGACAGATTTTTTAAAAATGCAAAGGTGACCAAACCTGGTATTCCTATGCATCTGAAAGATACTGGTTTATAAATTTAATCCTGATGTGAAGCAGAGAATGGCTTCTATTGTTTTGCTCTTAATCAACTTGTTTACTCTTTTCAAGGAAACAATAGTATCTAAGTAGACACTGCAGAGGAGAAAAACTAGTCTAGTGCAGTGGATCCTGTCCTACGTTGTGTACTGAGATGACCTGGAAAGAACAAACAGGATTAATTCTGTCCCTAGACATTCTAACACAATTAGCCTGAACTGGGAGCCTGGACCGCAGGGTTTGTTGTTGTTTTGTTTTATTTGTTTTTTTTAAAAATAACTCTCAAAGTGATTCTAGTATGAAGTCAAAGTTGCTGAGCTCTGGTGTTCTGAATCACATAGTTCATATTGTCAACTGTTTCCAAGGTGATCATAAAATAAGAAATCTAACAAGTGATGTCTTGAGGGTCAGGGTGCGAGAAAACTGTGGTTCTCGTAGTCACATGACAAGATGCACTTATTTTAATCGTTCTAAAATTATTTTTCTAAAAAATTACTAAATTATTTTCTTTGGTATTACCAGCCATGTCCTTCCTGCCAATTTCTTTTTGTACTGATTGACTCAAAACATCTGCTATGTTTTGTTTTTTTTGGCCTTAAAATTGCCATGTAATTCTTAGCTCTTCTGGGCTTTGGGGGTACTCGCTTCTAGTAGCTCATTTTACTGTAGTGGCCTAATTTGGAAGAGTTGTCCCAAAGGTATACATATTTTGAGGGTCTCTTTTTGATTCAGAAACTATCTTTTGCTAATTACTTCTAATGTGTGTCCTTGTCATTTGTCCCAGGCATTGCTTTTGGTCCTTCAGGAGCCTAACAGATCGTCTTCCAAAGTTCCACATGGCATCTGATAGGCCTTCCTCAGATTCCACCTAATCACGTGACACTCTGCGGCCTTTCAGCAGCTTACCTCCAACCCAACTTGAATATGAGAGAAGAGCTAGACTTCCACAATCTTCATTTTTATTGCTGCTTAACTATCCAACGACTAGATTTTCCATCAATTGTATTTCTCGCTAGTTACCAAGATGGATCCATTACTCAAATCCAACTGCTATATTTTTATAATTATTTGATTTTCTTGATCAGATATGCTATTTATATGCAATTGATTTTTCTCTATGTCTCTTTTTTCTTTTTAGCAATCTAACCCCGAGCTAACATCTGCAGATCAAACTCATACCTACTACTTTCAAAAGATAATCACTTATGTTTACCATAATATTTTATCTCTTTTTATATAACTTTGTTTCTTTTTTAACTTGTTATGTTTTATGTGGACAATTTTATAATTAATTTAAAAATTATTTTGTAATATAAATTATTTTCACATTCCTTTAGTAATCTCTAGAAAGGATTTATATACTCAATATAAGGAAAATGCAATTATTTTTATATAGTTGCAACATTACAGAAGGGTTTATGACTTTTGAATAAATACATCCTAGTTGTTTGGTTGATGATTGCCACATAATGATATACTGTTTCCAATGAGTGTATTTTATGGGAAGATATTCTTTACTAACCAGTGAAAGGATTTTAATTAACTATTGACTAACCTATCAAAATATGATTTCTTTAATATGAGCTGGAAATGAGGAAACAGGGGGAATGACCTAGGATTGAGTACTTTATTAAAGTACAATGTGGATCAAAGACTCAGGGTAATAGGGAAGTGATTTGCAGAAACTAGAAATCAGAAAATTCATGTTTTTATTTCACCATAATATAGCCCCCCAGAGTAGAAATTTGTTAAATATTTTTATGTGAATTTGAGTGATCCTTGGCCCATCTTACTGAGTGTCAGGAACAACTCTCTGTACTCTATGTGCATCCATTAACTTGATTCCCACAGTGGCTATTACTCTATGTACCTCCTCCAACTATACTTGGAGAGGTCAAGAAATACCTTGAATTCATGGTGCTAGTGGCCAACGGAGTTTGCACTTAGATCCAGACCAATCTTTGAGCCCTCCAGCCTGACCAAACATAGCAAAGCAGACACTAGTTTATTATAAGCAA